CACTCTCTCTCTCTCTCTCTCTCTCTCTCTCTCTATTGGTTCTGTTTCTCTAGAGAACCCGTGTGACCTCCCTCCCAAAAAGGCTAAAACTCAAAACTAATTCGTGGTTAAAAACACAAAGAAGGGGCCGGCCCGGTGGCGCACTGCTACAGTGCGCCGCTTGGGAAGCGCGGCGGCGCTGACCTGTACATAAAAAACTACAAAACTTTATTAAAAGAAACTAAAGGCCTAAATAAATAGAAAGACATCCCATGTTCACAATCAGAGTATTAATACCATTAAGATGGCAATACTTTCCAAATTGATCCACGGATTCAATGGATCTCTGTCAAAATCCCAGCTGGTTTCTTTGTAGAAAATGACAAACTAAAGGCATCGAAATAGGAAAGGAAGAAGTAAAATTCTCTATTCACAAATAACATGATCCTATATACAGAAAAATACAAAGAATCCACAAGAAAGCTACTAGGACTAATTAAAAAAAGTTAAGCAAAGTTCAATACTCAAAAATCAGTGCTGTATCTATATACCAACAATGAACAATCCAAAAAGGAAACTAAGTAATCAGTTCTACTTATAATCACACTTATAATATTCCAAAAGAATAAAATACTGAGAAATAAACTATGAAAGAACTGAAAAATGTGTACACTGAAAACTACATTGCTCAAAGAAATTGGGCCAGCCTGGTGGCGCACTGGAGAGTGCGCCGCTTGTCCCGTCGAGGGTTCGGATCCCATGTTGAGACCGGTTCCCGCTCACTGGCTGAGCACAGTGCAGGCACAACACCAAGGGTTGCGATCCCATTGCCGGTCCCTGGTGCGGGCGCGACACCGAGGGTTGCGATCCCGTTACCGGTCAGTAAAAAAGACAAAAAGGAAAAAAAAAAAACCCACAAAGAAAGGCTGGCCCGTGGCTCACTTGGGAGAGTGTGGTGCTGATAACACCAAGTCAGGGGTTAAGATCCCCTTACCGGTCATCTTAAAAAAAAAAAAGCACAAAGAAGAAAAGTTTAAAATTGCTAAAAGTGTCTGTGAAAACCCTACTGCAGACTTTGTATTTAATGATGAAATGTTTTAAAATCAAGAAGAATGCCTACAATTACCACTTTTATTCGCTGTGATACTAGAGATCCTAAACTGCACAGTAACGCACAGAAAAGAAACAGTATAAAGACTAGAGGAAAAAACCAAAACCAATGTTCCTCCCAGATAATGAAATCTATACAGAAACCCCAAAGAATGTACAAAAATGAACACATTATTCAAATTTCAAACTCATCTGGCATAAAATCAATATATAAGTATCAATTACATTTATATACATACAACAAACAGAAAAGGTACTGAAATGAAAAGTACTGTTTACAACAGCATAAAAAAATATAGATGCCTGTGGATAAATACTTTAAAAAATGAACAGATCTATACCCCCCAAAATTCTGAAACTTTATTAAAAGAATACCCTAAAGAAATAGATAATCTTGCTCATGGATAAAACATAAGCAATTCTCTCAAATTTGTTCTGCAGACTGATTTAATGCAATTCCAATTTTTAAAAATCCCAATGGAGGTAAGGAAAAGGGGATAATCTGACTACAATTTTTTTTTAAAAAAGCAAGCTGATTCTACCTTTTTTTAAAAGTTAAATCCCAAATAGCAAAACACTCCTAAAAAGCATGAGAAAAGTGGGGCATCTGTCCCTTATTAGTGGTGGAAGGATGAACTTTTCAGTAAATGATTCAGGAAAAACTTGTTACTCATATTGTGGGAAAAAATGAAGTTTGATCCCTATATTACACCACACAAAAATAAAAAACGTAACAATATATATAAAAAAGACTTAAGTGTCAAAGGCAACATCATAACATGTTCACAAGAAAATATAGGACAATATCTATACAACCTAGGGGTAAGGAAAGATTTCTTAAAGAAGACAAAAACAGTGCATGCCATTCAGTCAGATAAATTCAACTACACAAAAGTTAAGAATGCCTGTTCTTCAAGAAACACAGTGAATAAAAGTAAAAAGACAAGCAGCAATTATGAAAAAAATGTATAGCACACGTACTAAGTATTAATATCCAGAATACCTATATAAAACTCCTCAAACTAGTAAGAAAACATAAATCACTCAAAGGAAAAATAGGCAAAGACATGAACAGGCACTGAATATTACAAAAAATAAATTTATAAATTTCTTTTTATCTCAGGATTTATATCAACTTTAAGAATTAACTTACCACCAACCAAAAGAGAGATGGATGTAATTTTACTTAATTTATAAATCTCCCTGAGATTTATAAAACTTCCCTGGATTTCTCAGTGCTCTTGCAAAAAGCCCTAGCCTTCTGATATTCAGAAATACACATGATACAAAGATAGAGAATGTCTGCTTTCATTTCCCCGACAAATATTTTACTTTTCACATACCTTAAGAATTGGATCTATAGCCATTTACCTAGTTAATTGCTCTGAACCAAAAGGATAATAAATCTCTTATCTCCCTGAGAGTGCCAAGTCGGTAGATCACAAAGGCCTAGAGGTTACAGCACAGATAGGCCCTGAGGTGCTAAAACTGGAGTATTTACATCCCTAGGAATTTATATTTCAAGGAGGAGTGAGTTTTCAGGAATTTGTAAAAGTCTCATGGTCCAAGAGTGCTAACTGGCTCCTGGAGATTTTGTTTATATATACCAAAAGGATGGAGTTAATATTCATTACATTTTTAAAGAGACACATTCAGAAGGGAAGGGAAATAGCTGCATTCCTCCCCTTTATAAGCAAAGAAAAATCATTTGTCGGGGCCGGCAAAAGAAAAATCATTTGTCCTCATCCCTTGTCTATGAAGTGTGCAGCTACTCACACAAGACAAGTGACCTATCTCCTGTTGCACCCCCCCCCCAAAGAAAAATCATTTGTCGGGGCCGGCCCGGTGGCGCACTGGGTAGTGCGCCGCTTGGGAAGCGCAGTGGCGCTCCCGCCCGAGGGTTCGGATCCCACATACGGACCGGAGGTATTCACAAAATCTGTTTCTGATCCAGAATACCTTGTGTGCATATTCCAAACAAAATTATTAAAAACCCAATACTCAATGTACCTCCCATCATCATGAGACTATGAACAAAGTAGCTATAGTTAGAATAATCCCCAATGAAGTTTGCTGGAAAAAGGGTAACTACACAAAATAATCTGATACATTAGATTCAGGCAGTGTATCCTTGTGGAGTGCCAGTGCCCTTTAAGATCTAGGGTTGTAGTTTATTTCTTCTGGGAAGACACAATCCTCCACAAAACTAATATAATACTTGTTCAGGTGAAGAATGCTAATATCTTTCCTATCCTGATTCTCACTATTAGAAACTGAACAGAAATCATAATTTTCTAATAAACCCCTCCCTGTCCAATCTCTCAATACTCACTCTCAAACACAAGAACAAGCAAATTTGGATAATTCAGTGTCTTTCCATATCCAAACCCATTATTCTAAACTTTCACTTTCTGAACTAAGGAAATGAATAGATTTTGATCATGAAAAACCTGTATTATAGTCAGGCTTTCAGAGGAAAACAAGAAATGTGAATATATATATAAAAGTACATTTACATGGAGGGAATAGAGGGGAGAGAGGGAGGGAAGAAGAGGAAGGGAAAGACAGAAAGAAAGAGGAGATCTAAGACATCTGGCTCAAAGATTTCTACCCTATAGGTCAAAAATTTGTAACTCTGTTTATAATCTGAAACAAGGGACTGATTAAGCACATACATACACATACAATGAACTTCTATGTAGCCAATAAAAATGAAGCTTCAGGTTCTGAAAATCATTGCTATATATCTCCATTTGAATACCTGGAAAGTGTGGCTCCACAAAGTGAAGGGTAAAAAGTTAACTGTTGAAACACTTGTAATAAATGACACACGTGTGCAAAAAAGTTCTCTCCCTCTCTACTGGAACTTCCCTCCAACATTTAAACATGATCTCATCTACCTGAGGTTAAAAGAAAAGAAATTTTTGAACAGCCACTTCTCTTCTCTGCAACTACATCCTCTCCAGCTAAATCATACATATTGGCATCACACATTCATTTGCCATGTACTCCCCAACCCAATACACAATCTGATGTGTGACACAATTCCTCTACCCAAACTAGACATACTCAATATCTATTAAATTGAATACTACCTTGTAAATATCCTTTAAAACACTCTCTTCTATCATTATTCTTACATTTTTTATCCAACCCACTATCACTCTCTAATATAAGTTACCTACCTCATCTCCCCTCTTCAATTTATTCTCTACATACTAACCAAGGTAAACTTTCAAAACACAGATCTGATTATGTTGCATATACATTCAAAGACTCATCCCCACTCCCTTTAAAACTCTTCGAAACCCACTGCTATTAGGGTCAACTCCAAAATCCCAATCATTTGAACATTGCCTGAATGACACTGCATGACATATCTCCCTACTACTTTCACCCAATACTCTAGAGTGTTGTTTTCTTTCAACCTCATCAAGTTTCTTGTTCTTCTTGGATCTTCAAATTTACCACTGTCTCTACAAATGTGAAACAAACCACATTTATTTGAATAACCATAGTCATCAGAGTCTGTCTCATTCTTTTTTTTTTGGCAGCTGGCTGGTACTGGGATCAAACCCCAGACCTTGGTGTCATCAGTACCATATCTGTCTTGTTCTTTACTAAAGTATATATCTTGCATAAGAAAATGATACTCAATAAATATTTGCTGATTATCACATCCATAGTTACAAAGTACAATAAAGATACTTCATGTGGAAGACTGGTCAAGTGTCATGGCCAAAAAGAGTACCAGAGGCCACAGTAAAACACTGTTAACTAAATGGTAGCAACAAGACAAAGATTTTGTGGTACTTCCAGAGGTAAAAACAAACTGAAATATTAATATGATCACTTATTAACATGCGTATTTCTATGGGAGAATAAGGAACATTTTAAAACTTTTCACTCACAAGTTTTTCTTTCTCTAGTTTTTGCAGTAAATTCTCCATGTTACTTCCAATTCTTGTCTTTTCTACAACTTCATAAAGGCTGCAATACATTCCATTCTTCAAAACTGACGCACGAAAAACAATACATAGTAAATATCCATAACAAGTCTTCTTCTTATATATTTTAGTAAAATTAAATTCCTTTACCTTCATTTGGACCTAAGTATGTCTCCTTATAAAACAGTGCTGGAGGGATTTTCTGTTTCAGATGATCAATACTCATAACCGTTTCAACATCTAACTTCTCAGGACTGAAAGAAAATTGAAAAAGCATGTTTGCTTTACCTATATTTTTAACTCTAGCAGTGTTATCACACACCAATAGTATACTGGATAGAAAACAGAAAGGCATATTTTTTAATATCTTACCTTATTCTAAAGAGGATTTGATATGAAACACACACATAGGTAAACAGATAGCCTGGCTATATTATCAACCTTCCATCTTTAAGCCAGAAGAGCTAACCCTATATGCCAATTTTACTAAGCAAAAAGATAAAAGGTTGTCATTTTATTAAAGACAATTTAAGTATGAACTGTTCATCTTCAAACATTTATGAAGGCCCATGATGTTTACTGTGGTGTTAGAAAAAGATCATTTTAGACCTTTCTATTCCAACATATGTTGCAAAGGACCGAAAACAGCCTGTATATTTTAACTTAACTTACCACATCAAAGATCTTTCCAATAAAGAACTGGTTGGTAACTTTTAAATCTATTATATTCAAATTGCTAAATGAAAAATATACCTAATTAGGATAAAACTTTGAAAAATTATTTTTCAGATTTAAAATCACCAAGAAAAGGTTTCATGTCATAAATGTATATAACTAGCCCATCCTCAAATCAAGACAAAGAAACAGAAGGTTCATTTTGCCAATTAATTTTCTGAAGTTATCAAATCAACCTTTTTAAAAACAAATGAACATTTATATTTAAATTCTTATTAAGGACCAAAGTAAAATTTAAATGTGAAAAACAAGGAAAAAAGCTGAAGAAGAAACTGGTACAATTAGAAGCTACCAACTGCTATTTTCTCATAATGTAAGAAATGTTTCTTATAACATACTTACAGCTTGATAGGCAAAAAAGCACGAGTGGCTGACCTCAGAGAAATATAACACAGAAGCTTTCCTTTATTTAAAAGCTGTCCTTTCCACAAGGTATAATTAAATTTATCTAAATAAAAAGAATAATGACACAGCTCAGTCTCTTGACAGCCCAGAGAAGTAAATGCATATTTACTAGAAATAAAGAGGCAAAATATTAAGAAACAGGGCCAGCCCCGTGGTGCACTCGGGAGAGTGCGGCGCTGGGAGCGCAGCGACGCTACCACCGCGGGTTCGGATCCTATATAGGAATGGCCAGTGCGCTCACTGGCTGAGCGCGGTGCGGGTGACACCACACCAAGGGTTGTGATCCCCTTACCGGTCACGAAAAAGACAAAGGAAAAAAAAAATATTAAGAAACAAGGTTTAAATAGAAAACAAACAAAAAAGTGATATTTTTACTTATAGAAGAGTTCAAATATTAGGATTTTAGTTTCAAAATCATTCCAACTACAAAGAATAATAATCTTATCTATCTAAAAGTCCTCACCAGAACGCTGAGGAACAAAGACAATACAATTACTGCCTCTTATTTTCCCCAAAGATTATATTAAACCTGGGTAACTATATAAATGTACACGATGTCTCCTATCTTCCACTCGTTCTCTGTTCATTATGGAGAAACTTAAAGATAGGTAATGTTAACATTACTTTTTAAATCTCCGCTAAATATCTCTTCTAAATCCTCAAACTCTGATGAATTTAATTGTTTTACTTTTTACCTCTTTCAATTAAAGTGTTAAAACCCTTTGGCCTATTCACAGTAAAAGCCACTTCTCAAAGGAGACCTTATGCTTGGACAACCAAATGATGTTACATCACAACATAGCCTCATTCTCTTTTTCATACTTTACAAATTTTCATTCATTATAAAAATAAAACAAAGCACTTATTACTCTTTTACTATATGTACTTATTCTTTTGATTATAAAACTAAAGAAATATAAGAATCTTACCTATGTTTCTATCTGCATTAAAGCTGTTAGATCTACAAATAAATTTTTAAAGAGAAAAGAAAAACATTACTGATTGGTAATAACGTGAACGTTCATATTTAGGACCCTGATATAAGTGCTATTTTTAAAGGCATATTGCACAAGAGGATTAAATCCTTCCTTCCAAGTAGGAAGAACAGATAAATTACTCATTAGAAAATTTAATAAATTCAAGTCCACTTAGAGAAAACAGAAATATAGGCTGAGTATCCCTTATCCAAAATGCTTGGGACCAGAAGTGTTTTGAGGTTTGGAGTTTTTCAGACTTTAGAATAATTGCATTATACTTACTGGTTCAATATTCCCAATCCAAAAATCCAAAATGTGCTCCAATGAGCATTTCCTTTTTTTTTTTTTTTTTTTTTTTAAAGGGATGGCCGGTGCGATGCGCTCACTGGCTGAGTGCGGTGCAGCCGGTCACAAAAAGGACAAAAAAATAAAAATAAAAATAAAATAAATAAAAACAGCAGTATTTCCAAATCTATAGCTATCATGTGACTCTAAATACAAGTATGTGCAGGTACTCAAAGCAAAAATAAGTAGACATTTCACCATTTTACCTACATCCCTATAAATTTACTTATTCCATTTAGCTAAAACATTTTCTGGCATCACCACATGGGGGAAAAAAAAGGTAAAATGCTTTGTATTTGGTCACCTTATATTAGAGCTTGTAAGAAATCATCAACAATACTCAAAACTAATTGAAAATCAGAATCACCTGGAAGCTTTTACCAATGCCTAGGATGCCCACTAAATATTTGATTTAATTGGTTTGAGGTGGGGGGCTATGGCTCCCCATTTCCAGGGGAACTAATACACAAAATTTCACTTTTAAAAACTGCCATTGACTCAACTTTCAATACCAAGACAAAAAGGTTCACCAGATGAGATTTAAGTAAATTTTACTTTGTATTTCCACATAATTTGTCCTTCACATTGACATTTTAAAAGTCATCATGAACACCCAAGTATCCAATTAATTTCAAGGGACGTTAAAAAAAAAAAAAGGAAGGAAACAAAGTGGTCCTCCTAATTCAGCAGCACAGGACCTGTTATATAATATTAATTTGGATGAAGTCTAAACTCCTAAGTCTTACCTTGATGAAGATACAAACTTCGGAGTTTGTATATCGTCTTTGTAAATAAATGACACAACTGCATATGGACAAACATGTCTTGGTCTTTGCCTTAGTTCATCAAAGCCATACTCATAAAAATAATACTAAAAATAAAAAAACAAAATATTAACTTATTTAAGAAGGCAAGAACTCCTGACTTTTGATAAATATAAAACCATTTAAGCACCTCTGATAGAAAATGTCTTTAAGGGCCGGCCCGTGGCTCACTCGGTAGAGTGCGGTGCTAATAACACCAAGGCCCCGGGTTCGGATCCCACATAGGGATGGCCGGTTCGCTAACTGGCTGAGCGTGGTGCTGACAACACCAAGTCAAGGGTTAAGATCCCCTTACCGGTCATCTTTTAAAAAAAAAAAAGAAAATGTCTTTAAGCTCTGCCTGTCAATTTAACTAAGATAATGTGCACTTTATATTCATGTTGTGACACAAAATATTGTGTTTCTATGTGTATCAGATCCCTGTGTACTATTGGGTACTGCAAAAGTTTACTTCTGAAGAGCTGACCATTGCAAATGTGCAACAGGATTTCCTAATAAAAATATTACAAATGGAGCATAAGCTCAGTGGAGCCCAGGTCAGTCAAGAATAGCCAACTTGACACAGAACATAAAATTCTAAAGGACACAATCTCAATCAAACCTAACTACCATTTTGCTTATTATTTCAAAGAAAAACACGTCTGGGCTCCAACTACAAACAAACCAGCAAAAGAGATGTGGAAAAGAATACAAACAGGTGATAAAGATTGTTCACCCTCTTCCTACTACCTATCAGCCTCTCCACTTCACCTATTCTCCCCATTCATTAGACTAGGGTTTTACAGACCAGAGATTTCCTTTAAAAAGAATGCCTGAGTTTACAGACAAAGCAGCATTGTCCTTTAAAGTCCATTCCCCTGGGAAATTATTGATTTTAATAATGTTGCTATTGCTCTAAAAATGCCTGGAAGTTATTCTGAAACATAAAGCCAGTTTATAAGTCCGCTTAAAAAAAACAGTAATTACTTGATAGTTATACCTCATGTCTATCAATACTACTAGTATCTAAAAGATAATCGAATGAATCAGCTCCAGGTGACAATGGTGAATATAATTTTGGCTAAAAGCCCTATAATAGGTCTTCCCCACTGAGACATTTCAAAAAGAGGAGAGGGTTTGATCCCTGTACCAGCTAGCTAGCCCACCCCCCACCCCACCCCCCAAAAAGAAAAGAGCAAGAATAAATTTTATTTTACATAAATGAAGTAAAAACTAAAAAAAGAAAAAACATTTCCACGGAGGTTAACATCACCACTTTCCACATATAACCCGTTTGGATATATAGGTTTTGTACACATCTGTTAAAAAGAATAACATTACTTTGTAGTCAAACCTCACATAAAAACATAACACTGAAATTCATCAAATATTACACTTTTAAATATGTATAGTTTACTACGTATCAATTACTCCTGAATAAAGCTTAAAAATTTAATTCTAAATCTGCATCTTAAAAAAGCTAATAAGAGCCGGCCCCTTGGCTCACTCAGAGAGCGCAGCGGCTGGTAGCAGTGAGGCCGCAGGTTCAGATCCTATATAGGGATAGCCGGTGTGCTCACTGGCTGAGCGTGGCAGACAACACCATGCCGAGGGTTGTGATCCCCTTACTGGTCAGAAAAAAAAAAAAAAGCTAATAAAAAGAAAATATCAAATCAATAGTACAAAATGTTATGAATTAAGATTATTTCAAGGGGCTTCAACTTTACCTTGAAAGATGAGTAGTATTTTTTTTTTTATTAGGTAGATGATCTTTCTAGGCCAGGAAAAGCCAAGGTTTCAAAATGAAATGAGGTATGTTGAAGGCAGTGATCACAAAAACCAGGCTGGAGGTCACAGTCAACAAGCAGAGAGAGCTAGACTAAGGAGTCTTAATATTACCCCGTAGGCTTGAAGTACCATCTCGGAAACACTGAACTACAGGAGTGAGAGACACTGGAGTCTAGCAGTGATATATAGAAACCAGTGTCTAGACTAATGTGGTGGCAGAGGGAACTGAAACGGGGACATTTTAAAGGATTTGGTAACAAACAGATATGAGGTCATAACATTAAAATGGATCCAAGCACCTACCTGAGTAAGCTCATAGGCTCTGTAAGCCCAAAGTGATGTAACTCTATTGGCATTCTTTGACATGTGACATTCATGCTTTGGTGTGGGGTCCAAAGCACTTTTATTTAACATAGATTCCAAACTTTTTACACCCATGGGGTCGTATATACTCTTTATTTTACCCTAAAATATAGAAAACATTTAAGTACACACCAAAACCTAGTTATTGATTATATAATATTAATATTATAGAATACTTCTTTGAATATAAATCACCTATACCAATAATTATTTTCCTGTAATACCTGGTAATAAAGTTAGTACCCAATACTTTTCACCAATATTAAAGCACTAAGAGGGCCAGCCCATGGCTCACTTGGGAGAGTGTGGTGCTGATAACACCAAGGCCAAGGGTTTGGATCCCTATCTAGGGATGGCTGGTTGCTCACTTGGGAGAGCGTGGTGCTGACAACACCAAGTCAATGGTTAAGATCCCCTTACCAGTCATCTTTGAAAAAAATAAAATAAATAAATAAATAAGGCACTAAGAAAAAAATCAACCATAAAAAAAAGATGTTTAAATTTATTTAGTAACAGATAAGTAGAAATATATTCACAACACTCTTCACTAACCTAAATCACATTATCTACATATTACCCTTTTTTCCTCATTCTTTTCTTGAAAAGGAAAACAAACTCTTAAATACAGTTAGCTTAAATCAAACATGACAAACCACTCTCAAAAGTATCATTATATACTAAATACCAGCAAACACAGACTTTTAGTCAAACTTCTACTTGGGGTCAACTAGAATTCAAATTCAAATCAAATGTCTTTAATACGTAAAACGTAAGTTAAAATTACCTTCATTATTTTAAAAATAACAACATCACCAATTGCCCCAGCTTCCAAAGGATTAGCTTGTAATAAATCAGCATACCTAGAAAGATACACACCTAGTAAAGAAGGAAAAATTAAAGAATTTGAATAAGTAGGACAAGAATACAAAAAAAACTCAAATATTTAACTTAATAATAAAAGAGATAAACAGTATGACAACTTTCTAAAGAAATTTAAGGACAGTAAAGATAACTGATATCTAACCAAAGCAAAAATAAAACCAGAAAAAATATGAAACTAATTACATTTTGCAAAATAGCTAGGACAAAAATAAGATTTTTTTTAAAAAGTAATCTTCGATCAATATGAAGTATGAAAAATCAGAAACAAAAGACAAAACTGGTTTTACATTTCAGAACCTTGGGCCCGCCCTGTGGCTCACTCAGGAGAGTGCAGCGCTGGGAGCGCTGAGGCCACGGGTTCGGATCCTATATAAGGATGGCCGGTGCGCTCACTGGCTGAGCACGGTGCGGGCGACACCACGCTAAGGGTTGCGATCCCTTTACTGGTCACCAAAAAAAAAAAAAAGAACCTAAGACTAGTCTCCTTTTCTGGGAATACAATAAAGCATACATGAATTTAATTATAAAGACTGCAGCAAAATTATAGGATAATTATAAATATATTATAAGTTGTAAATATATTAAAAATATACTTAATATATTTTTAAATGGCAACTTAATAGTAGATATATATAAATGAAAAAGAAAAAAAGATTACCTCTGGAAGGACTACCGAGAATTGTTATTTTGGACTGGCCCACATGTAATCCTTTCTCACATATGCTTTGAACCTAAAATAAACAAAACACTTCATCTTGCAATCATAACATTAAAAACATAAAAAGATAATTTGTAAACTTGTTCTAAATAAAATCCAAGCTTCTAAACTACATATATTCTACATTACAGAAATTTCACATATATGCCAGTTTATGACTGTATCGTTGTGAAACTAACAATGCTTCCAAAGTAACTATATCTGGGCTGGCCTGTGGCTCACTCGGGAGAGTGCAGTGCTGATAACACCAAGGCCACAGGTTCGGATCCCATATAGGGATGGCCGGTTAGCTCACTGGGTGAGTGTGGTGCTGACAACACCAAGTCAAGGGTTAAGATCCCCTTACCGGTCATCTTTTAAAAAAAAACAAAGTAACTATATCTGGGCTGGCCTGTGGCTCACTCGGGAGAGTGCAGTGCTGATAACACCAAGGCCACAGGTTCGGATCCCATATAGGGATGGCCGGTTAGCTCACTGGGTGAGTGTGGTGCTGACAACACCAAGTCAAGGGTTAAGATCCCCTTACCGGTCATCTTTTAAAAAAAAACAAAGTAACTATATCTGAAATCCATTTTTCTTTATGCTAGGTATGACAGATACTCTAAATTCGTGCCACTCACATATAACCATTTAGAGAGAATTAGAACCAGTAGATATTAAAGAGAAAGCAAGCCCACCTAAACTTCTTCAATAAAAGGGGAAAAAACGTTTCCAAGTACAGCACATTTAATCAACAATATAGAAAATAATTTTTTTTTTCTTTTGGTGGCTGGCTGGTACAAGGATCCAAACCCTTGACCTTGGTGTTAAAACACTGAGCTCTAACCAACTGGGCAAACCAACCAGCACTGAGGATAATCTTTTTTTTTTTTCTCTTTTTTTGGCAGCTGGCTGATAGGGGGATCTGAACCCCTGACCTTGGTGTTATATAAGGCTGTGCTCTAACTAACTGAGCTAACCAGCCAGCCCAAGGATAATCTTTTTTTAATAAAGGGAAAAGAATTACCAAAAGCACTTTCTAGGGGAAGAAAATAGAATTGGTCAGAGAAAAAATGAGAACATTTGAAAAGCAAATTATGAAACAATGAAACATCTTCATTTCTTTCACTTACATCAAAAAAAGTTAGTTTCTAATTAGCAAGTGTACTGTTGAATTGCAAAATCCATAACTTACAATGGAAAATCTTTAAATTCTTTTATAAAATAGGCTAACTCACCTGATATCGATCAACCATCAGAAATGCATAGGATTCTGAAAGTTCCTTATCTAAACGACCATCAAACTTCAGTTCTCTTCGCTTTTCTGTAAACTAAATAAAATCAAATCTATAACAACTCCTCAGCATGTGACTACATTTTTCAAGGTAAGAGTTTCAAGAATTTTTTCCAAAAAATCCCATACCTATCTTTTCTCTCCCTGTACTTTCTGCCCTTCAGTTTTTCCCATTTTAACTAGCTCTTTACCCATGCAATAATCAAATATGCACCTAATGTTTATCAACTTTAGCTGAATTTCTATTAAATTTTTACCATACTCCAACTCTCCCATAGATTATAAATTCATGTTTTAGTTCTTTGTATCTCCCACTTTACTTAATATGGTGTACTGCATACAGTAGGTGATTTAAATGACCAACTGCTAGACTATAACCTCAATTAGGACAAGGAAAAATGTTCATTTCTTTATAACTGTATTCTCAATGTCAAGCACATAAGATGTGCTTCATATACATTAACAGGATAAAAGAATAACTTGGTCAAAGTACTCTGAACTGTAAGTCATCTTAAACTGCTGACTTCCACTTTTAGGTACAAACAAATATATATTAAAAATCTAACATTTTATATTCAGTATTCAGACATTACTGCTCTTCAATAATATAACTAATGAATCTTCAGTCTAAATTTTCATATAAAATTAACAAATAATTGCTATTACACCATGAAACTACATCAAACTACCAAGATTTAAATATTCTCTGGGAGCCAATAACATTAATGCCTTTTAGGGATCCTTTCAAAGTTAAATTTGGATTGCACTTGGCTAACCAACTTGTAAAAAGATAAAATTAACATGAGGGTACTTCAAAAAGTTCATGGAAAAGATTTGTATTATCCACTAATGATATTAACACAATCCAGCCACCAGGCAATAATTGCAGGAATAATTAAGCATATTCTAAAAAAAAAAATACACATTTGATTTCATTAACTATCTTCCAATTTAGGCATTTAGTTAAATTAACATGTACTCAAAATAAATGAAAGAGCAAAAAGCCTTAATATGAATTTACAATTAAACCATTATAACAGTAAGCTATCCCTATGCTTTAGATTCATTTTCAGGAAAGATGTTATTTTACAAAATTACACATTTAAGAATTTCACGGAGCAGATAAACATAATGCTATAGCACCAATGTTTAGGGGGGAAAAAAAAACAAGTCTAAAGGCATCTTTAAGACTTGTTTTTCCCTTCCATAATTTGGCTCTCCTAAAATCTTTAGTATTTCTAGAGAAAAGGATTTTTTTTTCCAGGCCGTTAAAAGAGTTCTGAAAAGCTTACAATAAATACCATTTAAAACATACCTCCTTTTCCAAAAGCTCGTTATGTATCAAGCAAGCACGTTTGTAGTTAAAATTTGTTACCGAGGTTGGTTCAAGGTAAGATGAATGGAGAATATTTAAAACATCTTCAAATTCTCGAGAGCCTGGATTTAATGGCTGGAAAAGTGCTAAAATAAAAAACATTATTAAGATTACTCCATCTTAAATGTAGCTTCTCGTATTTTTGTAGGTTAATCTGACTTTAAATAAAGTGAAAAAGGCATCAAGCCTATCTTATTTTGTGACATGCCAATGAGATACTAACTTACTGAAGAAAAATTAAAACCAGCTGCCTACACTGACCAGTTCCTTCAGCAATGAGGATATGGCATTATACATGCACATAAGGGGGTTGCAATTTTGCAAACCTTAGGGACGCTACAATTAGGCAACCTAGATTGCTTGCAGTCTCATACAAATCTACGCGTATCCTCAACTTGTCTCAACTCCTATTTTACATTACATTGAGAAAGTATGCCTAAGACCACGTATTTCAGCAAACTAAATGCTTACACCATAAATGAAAGCATAACAACATTTGTATCCTCAACTTGTCTCAACTCCTATTTTACATTACATTGAGAAAGTATGTCTAAGACCACGTATTTCAGCAAACTAAATGCTTACACCATAAATGAAAGCATAACAACATTTAAGACACTTACACGTCTATGTAATGACTGTGTTTAATACTAAAGTTGGAAGTAAAATATGATGTACCCAAATAGCTTCTTGTATTATCATTATAAAGTAGTAGTGAGCTGGCTAGTTGTAGTGTGTAAAATGGAGAACTCCAGCTATCCTAATAACCACTATATGCCACACACTATACACGAGACAACACATGGAAAAAGCTCTAAGCACAGCATCTGGTGCATAGTAAAATGGTTAAGTTTTTATTCCCCGTGTCCCCAACCATTTTACATCCCATTTAATTTTAAAAACACTTAAGTCAAATATCCAATCTGTTCTTTGAGCATATTGGTCTGATAATCTCAAATTTCTACTTTATATGTGAAATATTTTATTATTAAATTTCAAAAATAAAATCGGTACATATGAAATTTTCCCCAATCAAAAAGGAATCACGGGCCGGCCCGGTGGCGCACTGCTATACTGCGCTGCTTGGGAAGCGCGGTGGCGCCCCCGCCGAGGGTTCGGATCCCACATACAGACCAGCCGCTCACTGGCTGAGCGAGGGGCGGGAGCAACACCGAGGGTTGCGATCCCGTGGCCGGTCCCGGTCCGGTACGGGCGCGACACTGAGGGTTGCGATCCGTTGCCGGTCACGAAAAAAGACAAAAAGGAAAAAAAAAAAAAAAAGGAATCACTTATTTTTCACTACAGAAAGAACTATTCATAGAAACTATGTTATAATCTATTACCTTAATTTTTTTCAAGACACTATTTAATAAGGGTCAACAAACATCAGTCAAGATACTGTTGGGCCACTACTGAAATCATATTCTACTTGTACATGTTCGTCAAGGTAATAGATGGCAGTTAACTCATAAATAAGCAGCTTCCACTTTATTTTCTATAGTTACATATACTGTATATACTTTAAAGGACGTGATGGCAAACAATATATCCATTCATCCATTCATTTACCAAACCATGTGTCTGTAAAAATGTAGTTTTCAGTGAGAGACGTGTATACAAAAAATGGTTACCACTACTTCAGGATTGCACCCTAAAAAATTCAAGTTATTGAAATGCAATAAAAAAGATACTGACTGGGTATAAGATCAAAAAATAAAGCACTCAAATAGACCAACACTACCAAACACAAAGCGTCCTAAAATCAAATTTGTAGCACATCAACACTCAATAATCTATTGAGTGGGCCGAGCCCGTGGCGCACTCCCGCCGTGGGTTCGGATCCCATATAGGGATGGCCGGTTCGCTCACTGGCTGGGCGTGGTGCTGACAACACCAAGTCAAGGGTTAAGATCCCCTTACCGGTCATCTTTTAAAAAAAAAAAAGAAGAATCATATGGCTTCAATTTCTATGAAATTTTACAAGTCTACATAAAAGAAACTATTTTCCTTAGTTAAGCTGCCCCAAAACTACTTCCACCATCAATCTAAAGTTAAAAAATAATGGGCCAGCCCGTGGCTCACTTGGGAGAGTACAGTGCTGATAACACCAAGGCCCCGGGTTCAGATCCCATATAGGGATGGCCGGTTCGCTCACGGGCTGAGCATGGTGCTGACAACACCAAGCGGGTTCAGATCCCATATAGGGATGGCCGGTTCGCTCACGGGCTGAGCATGGTGCTGACAACACCAAGTCAAGGGTTAAGATCCCCTTACCGGTCATCTTTTAAAAAATAAATAAATAAATAAATAAAGTTTAAAAATAAACCACATAAATTTGCATAAGTTAACATTCAAATTATTCTTTAAAAAGTACTTAACATTTCCATTTCATTCCAAAGCAATATCCCATGGAGTTATGTCAAATATTTGTACTCAAGAAGACTGTCAACAAGGGAAAAAATTTTTTTTTCTTTTCTGGGCAACGGCCAGTAAGGTGACCAGAACCCTTGACCTTGGTGTCAGCACCACGTTCCACCAATTGAGCTAACCGGCAGCCCAGAAAAAAAACTGTTGCAAATGAAAATACAGAAAAAGGTGTAGGACTTTAGGTATAACAATAAATACCTAAGTCCTGGGTATTTTGTCTTTCAAATGCATCAGCAGCTTCACAAAAATAAAATTATGCTACAACTACTTTTAAGGATTTCAAATCAATGTGCTGGTAATGGCAGTTTAGAAATTTAGTTAATTTCATGTTCTGAATGTACATTCCCTGTTGGTTCTTAGTAATTTTATGTCCTTAGTAAGACATCTCTTAGCACTGCATATACCCTGATCGATATATCTCATCACTTCTTTTAAAGGAAACATACATCATAATCTCAATTACAAGTCATTATTTGAGGGAAGACAGTATCCAATACACAGTTCTCTGGATTCTGACAGTTTACGAGTCTAAACACTAATGGTCTACCCACCATCACCACTTTTCAAATACTGTATGAGCTTTACATGCATTATCTCATTTAATCACCAAAACCACCCTAAGTAGTTCAAAATGTCCATTTCTCAAGTGAACCCGGACAGATAACAGTTAACTTGGCCCAAGGGTTCAGTTAACGAATGAATAAGGCAGCTAGGATTCAAATTCAAGCTGTCTGCCTCCAAATCTATATTTTTAATTATAAGTAAAATAAAAGATGTGTGTGGGTATCAGAGCTGGAAGTCTCCAATCATGTCAAGAGCTAGAAAAATATGATTGTTTCCTCATTTTATAGACCAGGAAACCATGTAGAACGTTTATGCATGGGAAATTTGCTACAGAATGAAAAATTAGAGACTACGCTTTCTACCCTCTTATGTCTTCAAATCTCTTAAATATTTTTTCTAACTGTAATTTTCCTAAAGGGATACATGGCCAAGTCAAAACACCCTTTTTTGGTTTATAAAGGTAAATGGCAGTAGCAATAGAAGTTCTTTCACACATTAAGAAACATATTTTGCTTATTTAAAGGACTTCCATTAAATGCATGTCAAAAAGATGGCTCAGTTCATTTCTTATACAAGGTTTCCCTATTGAAAAACTTATTATAAATGTGTATTTTATGGGATTAAAGAACACAGATTTAGAAGGGCACTTGATGATTTACAGTTCAGATGAAGAAACTGATAGTATCATAAAACCAAAACTAGAATTCATATCTCCTGACTCCCAGTCATACTATCATCAATTTTTTTTTAATTACTGGCAACATACAAAATTTAGTTCATCAAACAGCAGGTTGGTCCCTTAATCAAAGGAACATTTCCCTCAAGTAATTTTAACAATTTAGTGTTAATGAAGATTTTTTTGTATTATGTTATAATGAAATTATATATATACATATATAAAAACAAGCTAAACTTTTAAAATAAAAAAGATGGACCACTACTATCAAAACATGTAAGTAAATTTATATGCAGTATAAACAAAGAAGTTTCCTGATTTAAAGTAATTCACAGGGCCGGCCCGTGGCTCACTCGGGAGAGTGCGGTGCTGATAACACCAAGGCCCCCGGTTCGGATCCCAGATAGGGATGGCCGGTTAGCTCACTGAAGACAGACATGACGAGAGAGGCCAAGGATCTACATAACAAGAGTCCTCAAACCAAGACTCACCATACCCAAAGAGCTAGTTCCTGCAGGTGTTTTCTCCTGATAATCTGAATACTGGAAAGAAAAGACAAGGTGAGGCTCTTACTACACTCACTCAACTGGACCCAAAACAGAGATCCAGGAGTGTCACTGGTAAGGAAATTTGCCTTTGCCAGCTTGGCCAGAGGTCCCAAGATCTCAGCTGCAGTCTACAAAGCAAATACCTCATCACCAAAACTGCTGGGAGGAAAACAGTCCCAGTTCCAACTTGGGTCCAGCGCTTGGGGGGTCTGAAAATTAACTGACAGTAGACTAACAGGAGAAAAGACAAAGTTTACTTGCACATGCTCACGGAAGCCTCTCAGTGATGAGCAACTCACTAAATAAAGGGTTTATATACCAAACTGCACAAAGGAATGAGTTTTAAGGCTTAATTCACAGAAGAGGAAACAGCAAGAATAGGTTGGGGGATCTACAATTCTGTCTGAATCCACAGCTGATGTCTACTGGTATTAATGATTATAGTACAATGACTATCCACTTGTTTTTCACAATAATTAATATATTTTTGAAAACCACTGTTCTTCAGTCTAAAAAAATTACAGATAATGCTTTAGGAATGGTTGTTTCATCTCTAAACCAACGTTGAACATAGGAATGAAGACGCTAGCACAGATCATGGGAGACCAGCACAAATATGAAACATCTTTGAACTGAGGTAGGTCAAAGAAAATTTTACCTTCATTTATATGTACCTATTAAACGTGTTATGTGGATGACTGGGTTCTGCCTAGACTCTCTTGCTCATTTACTTCTATATAGGGAGACGTATAATTCTCAGAGCCCAGTTATCCATATACAACTACTAAACACCATGTAAGT